AATTGCAGCAAAAGGTGGTTCTACAAAGTATTGACTCAGAGGGCTGAATAATTACTCACACCCCACTTTTCAGTTATTTAGTTTGGAATCATGTATGATTTTCGTTCCACTTCTCACGTGTGCACCACTTTGTATTGGTCTTTCACGTGGAATTCCAATAAAATTGATTCATGTTTATGGCTGTAATGTCACAAAATGTGGAAAAGTTCAAGGGGGCCAAATACTTTTGCAAGCCACTGTAAAAGCTTGCACATCTTTAATTGCTGACTAAGGAATCAGCCAATTACAACAACTGTCAAAACAAATACTGCAGCAACTGTGTAGTTAATGTTTGACATTTAACATTTCAAATAAGTTCAAATACAAATATGTTGGTTTCTTTGTTTTTATTCTCAGAAATGTGTATGTGTGTAGATGTGTGTTGTCAGTCAGCTTTTACTTACTAATAGCGGATGGAGCACCATCCTTGCACACTATATTTACAAAAAAAAAAAAAAAAAAAAAAAATCAGGGTGAATGATTACAACAGTCTGAACAACACTGCTTTAAAAATGTATAAATCAATCTTAAACAGACTGAGGTTATCAGATAAAAGCCTTCACTTTGGGACACAGCCCATTACAAAGGTTATCCAAGCAAATATTGCAGCTGTTTGCATACAGTATTGCACATCTAATATTTCAAAAAAGTTAACAACTTAGTCCTTTTTTTTTTTTTTTTTTTTAAAAACGCACAAATATGTGGTGTATTGTCAGTCACTTTTTACTTACTCATGGGCACTCGAGCACACATTGGCATGGCCATCTTCCCTATTATGTAAACAAACGAATAGGTCCAGACATTTAATTTCATACTTTTTAACATTCACAGGCTGATATACCAATGCAACACAAATAGTACAAACAGTGTTCAAAATATATACAATGCCTATCTGTTCAGTCTGGTTATTCCGTTTTCATGTCGTAACGTTCCTGACATGTCTACATAAGAAACATAAGTTTCCTCACCTGCATCCTGTTGTCTGATTGATCCCTGCTGTATTTACCTCTTGCTCAACACCTTGGTTTATACAACTTGTTAATTCCAATTTGTTCTCTAGTGTTTAGATTTTTTTTTTTCTCATTTTGTGGTCATTCTGCATCAAGCACTGTGTGCCACAAAAATCACTCAGCCTCACTTCACCAGATTATAATAATTAAAATAAAAAAAAAAAAACCTAGAGGATTAGCCAACAATAATAAATAATTAAACTAGTAAAATAATTAAATTCTGATATAATACTACTTGTGAGGCACTGCAGTAATAAGTCGTATTTAAAGTGTAAAATATGTTCACCATTATTTTGAAGTGTAAACTCCCATGAAGACAAGATGAAACACATTAGGTCAACAACTGCATAAAAAGTTGAGTACTGACTTATTTACATTGTTTGGTTATACAGAAAAATAATACAAATACTACAACTATACTACAACAATACTAGCATTATTTAAAGTATATAAGATCTTCATGTGTTTAATCTGTTTTTTCTGTTTTCATGGGAGACAGAATGAACTACTACTGGATTATAATATTACTGCAGTGCCTCACAAGTAGTATTGTAAGTATTAAAGATGTTCACTAATATTCCAAATATAACAAAACATTTCGAATAAGTTAAAACAGAAATATTTTGGCTTGTTTCTATTTATTGTTAGAAATGTATAGATGTGCAGATGTGTGTTATTCTGATATTCAACTTCTACTTACTACATGCCTTGGCGTAGACACCTAGGATGTTAAAAAAAAAAAAAGTCAAATATTTCATAAGAATTTGTTAAAAAGAACTTGATGTTATTTTAGGGAAGTAGAAATGTAACACAAACACTACAAACAGTATTTGTGATGTGATGCGATGCGATGCAATACAATACTGTGGCATTTCAGAACTTATTACTCTCACCTCCCAAATGTGTCTGCGAGTAAAGCTTAGTCTCATTGGTCGCTGCAGCATTTATAGCACTTGTTTATTATCCTTTAAGAGCCAGATTGCATGCTTTTAATTACCCATGGCTGCTTGAGCACACATTGGCATTGATTTACATACTAAACAAAATTTTAAAAACTGCTGCAAGATGCGCTGGCAAACAAAGTGCTGAACAGGAAGCTCAGTGGTCAAGTTGCTGATTAGGAGGCATCATGTGTGATTGAACGTTGTGTGGATCTGTGATGATGACTCCCCAGAGTGTTCTTGGAAATCTTCTGGGCCACAGCGGTGGCAGTCACTACCGTGACGACAGGGCCAGACAGCAGCTCTGAGCCTTCCGGGGTATACGCCAGGCTTTGGTGGACGTGGGCCGCACGCAGACTCTGCTCCACCAAGCCCTGGTTTCCCCTTGCACATTGTTGGAGGCGGAGCGGGTGGAGGTTAGATGTGTGCATGGTGACATCAGCAAATATCCCATAGTGCCGCTGCGTATTTAAGTTAAGGGAAACACACATAGAATAAAGGCTGCAGTTAGTTGGCACCTGTCGCATCCCTGACTTTGGGGATGAATTGGCTGAGATTTAATAAACTTTTGGGCCAGTATGTCAGGATGTGATCATGATCAGTAGTAGGTTGTAGTGTCTGCGTGGTGCTAAGTGGTGACGCGGGGTTGTCCAACGCTGACTCCTGGGGAGAAGAAGTGGTGGGTCCTTTTCATGAGGCCCTGCCTGAGTGGATGATTCGCCCCACAGAAGATTTTCCACTGGAGCAGTCTCGTGACGACACCCTACGCTCAGCCTTTGACCAAGATAGTAATTGATGGTCACTTGGTGTGCCCTAAAGCCGTGTGGCCCTACCCGTACTTTGTATCATTGAACGAGAGAGCCGTGACACTCGCACAGAGGAGGAACACACCCAGTTGTTGGTGCTTAAAAGCCACCGAGATGCTGAAAATGGGGTTAATAGAAAAGTCGCACGGCACATAATGTACGAAATGTCACGGTTTGAGGCCTACCCCATGGCCTGGGTCGACGAGATTCTGGACGAGTTAGGCATTGCCAAAATTCTGCACGATGCTAGATTTAACCAAGGGCTACTGGCACATTCTCTTGTCTGCAGAGTTTAAGGGGGAAAAAAAAGCCTTCTCCACTGTGTATGGTTTGTACCAATTCTTCACACTTTTGTTCGGCTTGCCCAAAGCCCCAACCACTTTCCAGTCCCCCATGGATTGGGTGGGGCGGCCTCACCTAGATGATGTTATCATCCACAGTAACACCTGGGTGCACATGTGCAGCAGGTGGTTGCGGTTCTGGAGACTCTGCAGCAGGCAGGGCTCAGGGCAAACCCTGAGAAATGTGCATTTAGATGGAGGGAAGTACAGCATCTGGGTTAGCACTTGGGGAGTGGGCAGGCGCGTACAGATGGAGAAGACAACTGCCACTGTATCCTTCCCGTGCCCCAAGACCTAAAAGGAGGTGAGGCAGTTCCTGGGCCTCGTGGGGTACCATAACCAGTTCATGCCTAGTTTCAGTCCTTTGACAGATCTCACCTGAAAGGGTGCCGCAGATCTGATCCAGTGGGTGGAGCAATGCCAAGCAGCGTTTGTGCAGGTGAAAAAGGCTCTCTGCGGGGAGCTACTCCTCCACAAACTTTTCCCTCCCTTTCATCCTGCAGACGAATGCCTCGAACAGAAGGCTGGAGTACGCTTTGTCCCAGCAGGTAAGAGGGGTTAACCGCCTTGTTCTTTACATCAGCCGGAAGCAAAATACAGCATGGTGGAGAACGATTGTCTGGTAATCCGGTGGGCGGTCAATTCCCTTCGTTATTACCTCCTGGGGCACTCGTTCGCACTCTGCTCAGACCACGCCCCGCTACAGTGCGCCTGGATCACTCGGTGGTACCTGACTTTACAGCCCTTTAAGTTCAAGGTGGTCCATAGGCCACAGATGGTCATGGACAATTTCCTCTCCCGTTTACACAGGGGGAGCCAGATGCGGCCTGGGCCTCAGTCAGACATTGGGATTGTGTGGCAGGGGTGTGGTCTATGGCTCCTCTGCAGTGGAAGAGTGGTGCAGCAGACTCCAGGGCCAGTCCCAGGGAGGCTGAGGTCCAGGTGGAGGGAATTAGGCTCACGAACACTCTCACATTTTTAGTTATGCTGGGGACCAGCAGAGAGAGGGTCAGCTGCAAGCTTTTGCAAAACATAAGGTGCCAAACAGGAGGATTGGTGGTCAAGTTGCAGAGGAGAAAATAGTGTGTGTGTGTGTGTGTGTGTGTGTGTGTGTGTGTGTGTGTGTGTGTGTGTGTGTGTGTGTGTGTAAAAGACAATTTAACTGTGTTTGAACGCTGTGTGGGTCCGTGGTGTTAACATCCATCTTGGAATCTTGATTCCTTGCATCATTTTTTTGCTACTGAATCTTACTTTTTGCCTTAACCAACTTTTCTTTATATTTGTACTGTCTGTGACTCTTATGGTCTGCTTTTCAATATATCATTGTACCCCTTAATTCAAGTCTATCTTCATCTTCAGTCTGTGCCTGACAGAGTTTTATTTTTTCTTTTGAAATAAACTTACGGGGTGTTGGAATATTTCTGCGCACAAGAGGTCCTTGAATCATTTTGCTGTCGTCTTTGTTGACAGCAATGAAGGCAGTGAAAGAACTGCTCACTCCTGATTGGACACTGAGCTTCACCACCTTCTCCTTCACTCCTCCATCTTGCTGTCCTCTGTTCTCTCTCTCATCCATCTCCAGGGAGCGAATCAGAGTCCGAGCACCCAACCTGTGGACTGTTAGCCTGCAGACAAGAAGGCACAGAACCACAATAATTTCCTTTCCATCCATTTCCTTTTCATCACTTTAAAACAACAAAAAGATTTACACACAAACAGGCTAACAATTTTGATCCACTGCCTTCCCAAAATGAGAAAGTTCTTTATTTAAATCAAATACATGTAACCTAGAACAAAAAGTGTTAAACTGAGTGTTAAACTAATTCAGAATAAGATTAATCAGAAAACTACACAACATTTTTATCTTTTTCGGCATCACCACAATTGACATAGTTCCTTGAATGTTCCTTCTTTATCTCATCCTCTACTAGTAGCTGATTTTACCTAGACTTATCTATGTTTTTGGTAATTAATATATCTCTTTTTGTAATTTTATCTCCTTTATAAAAGGACCTCTCCTGCCGAAGATAATGTGCAAGTGCATTTGCTAATAGACAGCTTGGTACTGGATAAAATAGTATATCACCACAAAAGAAAATTTAAACCACGCCCAGTCGGGATAGTCAAACAAATCTCTCAGTCTTCACTTCAGAACAACTTTGTACTCACGTTTACCTTTCAAACAAACAGTACTGTGATGTGACAAAACCAGCCAAAGCTAACAAAAGTATAATTTCTCCTAAAATTGCAGTTTCATGCTCCCAACTTTGCAGGAACAATTTGGGGATAACCCCTCGCTGTTCTAGAATGACTGTGCAACAGTGCACAAAGCGAGGTCCATAAAGACATGGATGAGCGAGACTGGTGAGAACTGACCTGCACTGAGTCCTGAACTCAACGTGATCGATGTGTGACCTAACAAATGTCCTTTTGGAAGAATGAACAAAATTTACCAAATCTGTATACCCATATCTGTGTATTCAAAGGAGCTTGCAAAGAAAAGCGTCTGGACTTCTTTAAGTTGCTTGAAGACGTTTCACCTCTCATCCGAGAAGCTTTTTCAGTTCTAAGGTCAAATGGTGGGGAGTCCCAGATGTTGTGCCATGTGCAACATAGACAAATCTCTATGAGACAAAACTCCAAAACACATACTTAACAATGTGGTGTATGCTGTACAGTGCAGCGAGGAATGCCCAGACCTCTACATTGGAGAGACCAAACAGCCACTTCACAAGCGCATGGCACAACATAGAAGAGCCACCTCCACAGGACAAGACTCAGCAGTCCATCTGCATCTAAAGGATAAAGGACACTCTTTCGAGGATGCCAATGTTTACATTTTGGACAGAGAGGACAGATGGTTTGAAAGAGGAGTGAAAGAAGCCATCTATGTCCACTGTGAGCAACCATCTTTGAACAGAGGCAGTGGTTTGCAACACCAACTGTCTGCCATCTATAATCCAGTTTTGAGTTCCCTCCCCAGACGCCTTAACGCCCACTCACATTCTGGGCCATCTGACCTCAGGAATTCGCATGATAAGGTGGGGCCAGGTTTCACAATGAGCTCACCCGAAACTCTGGCTGATTGGGACCCACACCCAGTTCCACACCTTGGCTCAGGCGATTAGAGGATCATCAGGGGGTCCTTTTGTCCCTCTGTGGGGGGATACTCCCACTAGGTTTAAATCTGGGACTCCCCACCATTTGACCTTAGAACTGAAGAAGCTTCTCGGATGAGAGTGAAACGTCTTCAAGCAACTTAAAGAAGTCCAGACGCTTTTCTTTGCAAGCTCCTTCGACTACGATGACCTGGATGACTGAGAACCTTCACAGACATATCTGTGTATCTTAGTCTCTGTGTCACTCTAACTTTGCTGCTTTGTTGAGGGAAAGGAGTCTGTACCTTTGAGTCAGATAAGTAGCTGTGGCAAAATACTCCACACGGTCACCTTAATTTGATCATAAGAAATTTAGAAAAGCTCAGGCTGCAGCACAGAAGATGCTATAGTCAAGGAAAGCTACGATAAGCTGGAAGTGAGTCAAACATTGATTACATTGGTAGTTGATTATTAACAATACTATTGTATGCATGTTTTCAGGAGCAATGACTGATGGGGTTAAAGTCCACTTGTTTCCCACACATTTAAATCTGAGATAATATTTGAGCATGAATCAAAAATGATCAAAGAGAAATTCCTGAAATTTTCAATAGACTTTCATACCATTGAAATAAATCAGGATCAGTAATTTGAGAAAGATGCATAAAAAAAAGAAGAAAAGAAAAGAAAAGAAAAAGCCAGCACTCAAGACCTTTACTATTCAAAACATGAATAGTAAAGGTCTTGAGTGCTGGCAATATTGCAAAATAAAGCATGAATAATAATTTTTAACATGATATTCTTAATAACAAAATAGAAGCAAATGCTATTTCTTTTCAATTTTATGTTATGTTGAGCAAAGATGATAAGTCATGCCGCAAAAACAATCAGTAGGTTGTCTCTTCAAAATACAACATAAATATCGGAGTCTCAAGATGGTCAAGTGGAAAACACTGAAAAAAGCTTTGATTATTTGAAGTGGCGTCCCTCAGGTCTCACAAATGAAAAATATGCATATATTCTATCTGGGCAGGATAATTAGTGATATTTTTGTTTTAGTAGTACAACCGGTCGTATTTGCTCAATCCAATTTGAAAGTAAAATTAAAGAGCATACTCAAACATTTTTAATGTGTGAATCCAAGATTAATGGATCCTGATTCATTTTGAGGTTAGGCATGTCACATAAAAAAAAAAAGAAAAAAAAAAAAAAAAGAGAAAAAAAAACCAAACAGGGTTGACAAAGCATTTTTCAAAGAAACATATATAATGAGTGCTGTGAAAATTTCACTTCAAAATTGAAATACTACTCAAGATGTGCCCACACCATAACATTTTTCTGAAAATTGTAGACGGATAGGCAGAAGTCCCATGTTGATTTTATGGAGTTACCCATGTAATTCACTGAGCTGGGCTTGGTTTTACTGGCTGTGTGAAATTTGAAGTTACTTTGGAAACATTTTTTTTTTTCGTACTTTGAGAAGTACAAAAAGAATAAATCAGCTTAAGAGATCCCTGAGCTTTGCTTCAGTTAAAACAAAAACTGGACCCATTTCCTAGACTTCAGTGTTGTGGTATTTGTTTTGGATATAGACATAATTAAAATAGTTTTAACAGGAGTTATAGTAAAGAAAGGCTGCAGCTTAGCAAAAATCCCCAAGGTCACTTTGATAGGCAGTATAAATTATTATAATTTGCAATTAGCCAGTTAATTTAATTCAATTTGGATATAAGCTTAAAAATATTAGAGAAAAAATAATGACCAGATGCTCAACAGGAGGAAGGAAAAGTTTTCTTTAAACAAGAATAAACCTTTGGCAGAACCAGGGTCATGGAGAGTCAATCGTCTGTTGAGACTGTTTGGGGGTGAGAAGGAGGCAGACAGAGAAAGTGTGAGAGAGAGTGAGAGTTAGTACTTTTAGTACTCTCACTGCAGTGTTTTCGATTAACTGAAGGTTTTTTTGTGGAGCTTTTGCAGTGATGAATAATAATGAATTACAATAGTCCAACCTAAAGCAATAAATGCTCTAAATTTTTCATTAACAAATTTCTCAGCATCACTTTGAGACAGGATGTTTCTCATTTTAGACATATTGCACAAATAAATGAAAATAGTGCAAAATATTTGGTTGACATGTCAATTAAAAGATATATCAGATCAAAACTGGCTCCAGGATTCTTCACAGCCTTGCTGTAGCTCAAAGTAAAGCTATTAAATATCTGGTCAGACACAATGTTGTGAAGATTTTTAGGGTCAAAGACAAAGCTATTTCTTTCTTTGGCTCTCGGAGGAGGCGGACACACTTTTTCTCCTCTCCCTTATCTTCCCTGCTAGTTCTTATGTCCTTGTCTAGTCTCAAGTCTTTTTTGTATTACTTTCCCTGGAACACTCTCTCACAGTCTGTGTCTAAAACCTAAAAGAGAATTATGGATTTGATCAACTGGTCTCTGAATGCTATTGACACCCTTTAACGAGAAGTCTGGG